CTGTTGCTTTTTTTTTTTTTGAGGTATATGATCATGATAGATAAAGCTTCAAGTCTCGTCTGTTTGTGATGTTGTGAGGAAGCATTGCTATTGAAGAATAACTACTTAACTAGTAAGTGAAATGAATCAAATTCATGATGGCTTGTTTAAAGCTAAAATGTTTTTGAAATTTTAATAGTTGGGGTTTATATGTACTAGTGGCTGGAGAATTCAGTTAGAGAACTTAGATCATTCTCTCTTTAAATTATGTTTTTATGAATTTTATTGTTGATTATAAAATAAGTTCAAAATTATTATAAAAATAGAATTAAATTCTAAAATTTATTCAAATTTTTTTTTTTTGTCTGGTGAATCATGATGTGAGAAATTAAGTAGAGTAATTAACTTTTATGAAATTTATTACAAGTAGGTAGGAGACGTTTGGCTAAGAAAAAGTCATTGTAAAAGGCTAAGAAGACGATTTTAAAACGTCACTGTAAATAAAGGGGTAGAAAACGTCACTGTTAATAAAGGGGGGGGGGCAGAAAACATCATTGTTTATAAAAGAGTAGGAAATGTCATTGTAAATGACGTTTTGACCCCCTTTATTTTTTTTAACATTTGTTAGCGGCCATTTAAAAATTAATGTTTAAAAACGTCATTATAAATGACGACTTTAAAAACGTCATTAAAAATAACGTTTTTAGAAAAAAATTTAATTTTAAATCGTCATTCCAAATGACATTTTAACATTTAAAAATGTCATTTCAAATGATATTTTTAAAAAAAAGTTAAATTTGAGAAATAAGTTCAAAATTGACTGAGTTTTAGAGTTAAGATTTGAGGGGGCTGGGTTTGGGGAAAACCTCTTAGGTTCTGGCACCATTTCATTTTCACATTATTATTTTGTCATAAATGGATGGAGTGTATATACATTTTACATTTCAATGGACAATTTTTTTTTTTTGTATAAAAAATTTTGAATAATAGTTAACACTTCACCAATAATAAAATAGTGAGAAAAAATCTTGTCCATTAAAAATTCAAAATCTTATGCATGTTACTCATCTAACACAACGTTGAGAAGAATTGAAAGAAAGGAATAATATAGGAGATCTAAACCCCATAACAAAGGGGATTCCGCAAAACTTGCTATTCTTAATCTGGTTATAAAACTATGACTAAATATTTAACGTAATGATTAGGCCAATAAAAAAATGATTACATGTGTTATTATCATAGATATTATCTATCAATAATAAATAAACAACTAAGAAAAGTATACCCACTAATTCCACTTCCACATATACTTATTGAATATGGAAGTTATTACTGATTTTAGAATTTGGTGAAATCTACTAAATCTATGATGACCATGCGATATTTTTTGGTGTGAGGGTTTGTAGCTTTCGAGAATGGGTCACCATAAAAAGCCTCCAACGGGTTAGCTGAAGATGAATACGGATGGATGCTCCAATGGTAACCCAGGAGCAGCTGAAATGGGAGGCTTAATCAGGAATGACCATGCCAGATGGATATCTGGGCTCTATGGGAAGATTATTCACATGACCAGTTTCCAAGCAGAATTATGGGCCATTTTCAGCTGCCTAGAGCTAATCAGAGACTAGAGACTTAAAGGACATCGGGGTGAAGACGGACTCATATGGGGCATTTAAGCTCATCACCCATTCTAGTGAGGAAGGACACCCAAGTAGAGCTTTGATCTGTACATGCAGAGAATTCTAAAGGTTTTTCAACCGTCAAATACAACCTGTTCTAAGGCGTAACTAGTGCATGAGGCTTCCGCCATTGTAGAGTCTAGAGAGCATCCTTACCCTTGCAAGCAAAAATTGCTTCCGCAACTGAAATCTGTGGCCTCCAAGTCACAATAAAGTAATCTTAACGTTGTGTCAAGACCCGTCCTCAAATACAGCATTCTGCAGGAGGGAAATAGCTGCGCTGATAGCCTGGCTAACCTAGGGGTGCAGCAACAAAGGCAGATTTGTTGTTCTCATGGAACCCATCAATTAGTTAGCTTCTACTCAGCTGGTTGATCTTGCTGGTGTTGTTTTTGTTCGAGAGCCGTAAGGGGTATTGTTTCTCTTTTCCAATGTACTAAAAAAAAAAGAGGGATATCGGTTCCAGAAATTCCAAAAATGAGTGTTGTCTTATGTCTAACTATAAAGCAAAAATTGTATCCCAGAGATAGAATACAAAATTTTGTTAGCCAGATTAGTACTGCTTGTGTACTATGTAGAGAGGTTGCAAGAGTCGCATGAACACCTATTCTTTAACTGCAGGAATACTAGTAGGGTGTGGGAGAGTATTTTGCAGATGAGTAGACACCAATGGAATCTTAGGCCACGGACTGAATTCATTAATTGGGTTGCACAAAGCTGGAAAAGGGAAATTCATGCTTCTTGTGGTGCTGAAACTTAGTCTGGCTGTCACTACGACAAAATGCTCTCGGGGAGTTGAAAATAAGCATAAACTCGGAGTTTCTCAAAGAGATCAACTTTTCAAATTGCTGCGAAATCGATGGGCAGACAATAGCCAATCTGGCTGGTTCTCTCCGTATCATGAGAGGGGCTACCGCGTGCTAACAGCTAACAAAAATTGGGTTTTCTTTTATAAACAAATATGCCCCGACGTTTATATTATTCAGTGTGAAAGAAACGAAAGGATCTTCACCAATCAATTCTTGGATCCCAACACTGTCCACATAAGCATTAAACAGACTGAGGGATAAGTTATCCCTCATGAGGTTTGAAAACAATGCCCAAAACCATCAGCTGGTGCAAGTTTGGGGACTACACTGCTATGTTTGCTTTGGTCTGCTCTATGCTAAACTTCTATGTCATGAGAGATATAAGTTGCATCATACCTATATTACCTAATTCTAGTGAGGTAGAATTCTTTGGGAAGTACTAGCTCAAGGCCTATACTTCCTTAGAATTCGAACTACTAGTATTAGACATTTTTTTGTTGTGTTTTTTTGATTCTCAACAAACCTGCATAAGGCTGCAAATAGCTCATGTTATTACTTGTAAAGCTGCAACTCCCAAACAACTGTATTGTGTAATTTTCCAGTTTCATCATCAGTTTTATATGGAAACTTTTTTTTTTTTGACAAATCTGTCTGAGATATAGCTACTTGCTCACACCTCTCACAAATTTTGATATGTAGGTGTACCAATACTATCATTACCACCTAGACAATTATACATCTAATTGCAACAACTCAATTGCAACAGCTCTACCAACTGAGGAAGTCCCCAAGAATATATCACATATTCATTATTATCAATGTGTAATTCCTGCATACTTTTCTATGATAGTGCAAATGTTCTTGGATATATCCTACCTTAATCCTTTGATACCTAAGTAGGCCCTTATTATTTGTTGGCATGTATAAATTTGAATAAGATGATATCAATCCACGCCAAATTAAGAATTTTACATTCCTGTATATCAAAAGAAATAATAAGAGATGTTGAGTGCTCTCCACAATTGATTATAACGCTAACATGTATATTTTTAACTCTATGTAGCTGCCGGATCGCAACTTAGACTACGTACTACACCAGTGCCTTATTCCATAGATCACAAAGACTATAACAAAATCAAATTATAACTAATATACATGAAATTCTGATTCGAGACCACCAAATAAAACAATTCTGTGGTTATTTGGTCACCTTGTAAAGTATACAGCAGTGTAAATGGTATGTACGTACCTCATGTTGTATATTTCAAGATACAGTCTCGTGATCAATTTCGATCTATAGTTGTTTAGAGTGTTGGGATCAATGTACATATTTAATTAGAGTCCCGTATCGATAATGTGTGATAAACGAAGAGGATATGAAGATAACAAGAAAAGATATAGAATTGTAGAGAATGAATCTTTTCTCAAACTTGTATCCCTCGTTGTGGTTAAGACCTTTAATTATAATGGTCATCAAATACAAAATTAACTTCTGTAAAGGGCGGTGGTTACAAAGTCACCCACTACCACCTATTTACTTAGGTGCACTAAACGATATACATCATGGGTCATCTATTAGCTACAATATATTTATAACAACTTATATTTAATTTGTGAACTTGATCTATAGATTTCATTCATTTTCATAATCAGAATGATAGTGAAATCTATTCACAATATGTCAGATCATCAAATTAGAACCCCTCAAATTATGAGTATTAAGCTCTGCATATTATTTTGTTGCAGGCATATAAATGAAGTATGGCAAATTTGTGCTTACTGGTGGTTGACAGGAGATGACAATATTCGAGCTTACAAACTTAAGGTTCAACAGCGGGGACAGAGGTTATTAGGCCAACTGTTAACCTCCCTAAATGGGGATCATTCCCACAAAATTGTATAAGGTTCTACAGCCCATGGAACTGTGGCAATATATGCATAAGTCTAAACAAATAACAGAACAACTTACACACATAAAGAAGTCTTTTATTTCATCCTCAGGTAGTGTATACACTTGAACCTTAACCAAAACAAAACTATCAAATGCCCTCAGATTAGGCAAAACATATATGTCTTGGTGTATCAATAAATACAGCCAGTCCAAAACAATCGAAAATATTTCTTGGGCCATGTATGCGTCACCCTCAATTTATTGTAAATATTCTAATCCCAATAAAATTGACCCACTTGACCCACAAACCATCTTTGTCGGTGAACAAAAATCATATGAATCTCATCATGTAAGCATTATTACAATCCCTTATTTTTCTTATACCCAGACCACCTTCATCTTTTGGCTTACAAACATCTTCCCAAGCAACTTTAGCTCCTGAATGTGTTACCCTCGGTTTATTGTAAATATCCTAATACTGATAAAAATTTATTTACATTTCAAAGAGAGAAAAATATTTCGTAAACATATTCTCTCGATCGGATTGTGAGAGAACATTGTTACAAAATAGGTGTTAAGCAATCAAAATTGCTCGATGTACCGCAAAAATTAAACTTACCCAAAAAGAAAAAAAAATAATATCATAAACAAAAATGGAAAAGTATATCACACCTAGCTGCTAGAGTATCTGGTTAAGACTGGAGCATCAACGCAAGGAGAGTTCTTCCACGCGTTAGAATGTGTTCTAAGTATCTCTCTAGCTTTATCTTTCAAATACGAAGCACAGTCAACTTGAAGCACCATGCGAAGCTTTGTAATAGTTCCAACTCTCAACATCTCTTGAAGGACCCAACTTGTCCCAGAGAACTTACAAATCAATGAAATGATCATCATGGCTCGATCATCGGCCGCCGGAGAAACATTCAGAATCCTCTTCGTGATTACAGCTATACCGCCGGCATGACTCAGAAGCTGAGCTCTCCCGCCGGCGCATGAACAGAGATGGAACATACTCCCAAGATGAGCTCGGTGGTACTGTTTTCCAGCGAACTCAATTCGAGTTCTATGAGTTGGAAAACTGCCCCAGTTTCAATCATCATTATTCAGTTTCTTCCCCATGGACAAGCGTCTAATAAGACCTGCAAAGCAGCTTTTATTCCTTGTTGAGAAATACCTTCTCTCAGGACTTGTATAATTGTCTCAAAAAATTCGCGTTTCAGTCTCTGCAGTACACCGGAGTCAACTTTTCCGGTGACTGTCTTCAATAACAAAACTGCATGGTTCTTCACGGTCACTTTATTATCCCAATCACACTCCAAAACCCACTTCAAAGCATCAATAATTTGACCATTTTCAACTAGAACAATCTTCACCTCCGCCGATCGAAGAAGATGGAGAATACTCAGAGCTTCTTCAATACCAGTTGTTTCTTTTTCCTTGTAACTTGCTATGATAAAAGTCACCACTGCCTTAACTACACCAGCTTCAACCAGGTATTTCATGCTCCTTTCGTTCTCCATTGCTAGGACTTCCAATTTTTGCAGCGTTTTCAGCTGTAATTTTGGAACCCAAAGGCCTTTCAAGAGGTTGAGGACATGAAACTTGTTAAGAGGAGGTTTCGGAGTCGGGATTCGATCAATACCCATTGATGCATTGGTGATGCACCATGCTTGGATGAGTCGCCGGATAATGTGATTCGGCTTTAAGTCCGAGTCTTTAGGCAAGGCTTGTTTAGTCACAGGACATATCATGTTTTCACCTTCGAATTCCAATAACCAGTGTTCAATGCTCTCTCGATCGTATGTGATGCCTGTTATTGTTGTCACAGGGTCTTTCATGATTTGGAGGGAGATGGGGCAGATGAAGTACTCAGGAACTTCGATATTGTCCATGAATATTTAAGATGGAAAAGTTGTTAATTTTTTAAATCTGTGTCTTTGTGTATTTATGTGAAGATCATATGAGAAAGTAGAAGTGCAGAAGACGGAGATTATTGATGAAGTGTGGAAGGAAAAACTAAGGTGTTTGGTGCACTGGTAAGAGAATACGGCCAATTTATTGGCATATTTGTGTGTGTGTGTGTGAGAGAGAGAGAGAGAGAGAGACTCTAGAAGAATATGATTGGTCTTCTCTTACTGTTCATACATTCTGACGGGCTGTTCGGTGGTCAAAGCAAAGAAAAACGTGGTTCCAAATCTAGTAGCTATGGATAGGGATTGGCTCGAGAGCAATACCTACTTTGCATCTAATCTAAATGATATAATTATTAGATTGACCATGAGCTTTAATTTTAGATAATATTTATTATTAATTCAGTAATTGAGATATCATGTCATCATTGACACATGATATTATTATTCAATAATAAACATATAAATGGACAAGTGACCTCCACGTGTCAATAATAACGTGATATCAAAGTTACACTTAATATTGTTTTCATAAATATGTTGGACTCAAAAAAAAAAATCTAATATTATGCATAAATTGATATTTGTTTTTCTTTTCTCTTTTGTTTTCAAAACCTATTTTGTTCCCCAAGACGATTTCAGTTATGTTATTTGGCAAAAATTTAAAACATAAATAATCACTTACAAATTATGCATGTCGAATTCCCATAAGTTATTTAAAATAGGGGTGACGCTATTCTCACCTTACAAATATTTATTCTAACCCTATTAAAATTTTTATTATTAAATTATTAAACTCACTATTTCTATATCTACTCTATTTTAACTAAATTCATCGTATGCTAGATGAACTTTTTTAATAACAAGTCCACATTTTATATTCTCATAATTAGGACTTTACTCATTATCTTTTGTCATACACCTACCCAAATAAATTTTTTTTAATATGTATTGATTACTAAGATCAGTACATCATTTTCTCTATTTGTACATTATCCAAGCTTATTCTCGCTTCTGAAAAAACAATCTCCATTAGATTAACATGAGATTACTAAAGTGTGGACAACAATATTAACTTCACTTTGAATGGACACAAAGTGGATTAAAGAAATTCATTGAGTATCCCTACGAGAATTATTTATATGTACAATTATAAGTAATCAACAAAAGAATTTGCAGTGCTTCGTTTTTCCTTCTTGTTGTAAATTTGTATGAATACATGCATATATATACACATACATATAAACCCTAAATAAAAAATAATTAAGTTTGACAGAATACCAAATCACAAAAAAAAAAAAAAAAAAATTCACATAGCACACATGAAATCCAACAAAAAATTAAAAAAAAAGTAATACTAACATGTATCTCACTAGAGAAATCTATATATGAAAAAACTCGCGTTGGGTGTATAAGAGGAAATATTGAATAAAACCCTAGTTTTAAGAAGATAAAAGATGGACTTGTTATTAAAGAGATGTGTATAGCATGAGGTAGTCTTAGTTAAAATGAGGTGGGTATAGATTAGATAAACTTCATAGTTTGATTATAAAAAATTTAATAGAGTGAAATTGAATATTTGTGAGGGCGAAAATAGCCTCATCCTTTAAAATAACCTTTGGAAAAGAAAACTTATTAAAATATCAGAATATTCACTACTAAGACTTTAATATTGTTATTCAAACTGGTTAGTTTGTCATTATTTTTTTAGCACAATGGTAGTTGATTGATGAACAATGATGATGAAGACAGTTTTTCTAACTCTCATTTGAAAAGCATAATTCGTTCATATTATTTTTGCTGGCGGGTCATCGTAAAATATGATGATAAATTGACAATTATTTCAGAAATGCATTGTTCATGATTATGTTCTCCACTCAACCCTATCAATTTGTCTATAATTCATGCATGTAGACTTGACATTACATCATACTACATTTCACAACCTTAAAGGTTAATGTTATACAATCGAAGATTCAAATTAATCTACTTTTCTGGTTGAGGTGACATGAGTTTTCAATTCAACATTAAGATTCATCCAAATTCTATACTAACTTTCCCAATATTTTTCAGGTTGAATTCCTACAGTATATTCAAACTTACTTAAATGTTGTTAAATCACCCCCCCCCCCCAACCAACCCACCCCCACCCTCTTAAATTTATGGTAATTATTAACAGTATTGACTGTTGAAGGAATCTAACACCAGGCCATTCTAAGAATCTTCAAAGTAAACTTTGGTGCCTCTATATATACTCCTTGAGTGAGTTTAATGAATGTGCATCTTTCGAATTCTAAAATGCATTTAGTTTTCCAATATAAAATTAACGAGAGATTTGTTTGATTTTATTTACAAAGGGAAATTGGGCCAAGGGGTGTATATTGTGCTCACTCAATTACACATCGCTTATTCAAGTGGTTAGAGAGTGGTACATAAATATGGGGATTAACGTGAGAGAAAAAGAGAGAGAAAAATCGTATAAATTTGATGTTTAAGGGAAAAATATAATTATCAGTAAAACACAATAAAAGGGTCCAAGAATCATATAATCAACATGAAGAATTTCATAAAATAACCAGGATTAGAGAGAAGAAAGGGAAGGCAAACAAAATACAAAGATATAAATGGTTCGACATAATATGTAATGTGCATGCCTACATTCACGGACCTAAATGTCCAATTGGCTACAACGATGTATTATTGACAATAATTACCCTATTTATAAAATGAGAAATAAACAAGATAAATATAATTACTTTAGCCTATTATCATCTTATCCCAATTGAAGATATTATTGGATCTATATGAATCCTAGCATATCTCTAATAATCCCCCTCAAGTTAGAGAAAATATTCATTACAACAGTGATACCACGTGGCAAAGTGATGTGGCATCATCAATCAATAATATTAAAACAAATAAATAGATAGACTCTACAAAAATCAGTAACTAACATGTCATGTAAACTAATAACTTCTTACCCTCCTATTATATAAGCTTAAGGGGGGGTTCCCCTTTTTCATTTGGAGTTTTATTATTGGTTGGTGATATCATATCATCAATGGTGATATGATATCACCGTTGCATTCGATATTTACTCCTCAAGTTGGTACACTGAAAAGTTGAAGTGTTAAACTTGAACCGAAACATAAGGTAGTTGTTAAAATAGCAACAATTTGCTCTTCGATTTCGTGAGAAGCAGCACCGTCGGATTTAAGCAATATTTGTCGGGATTATAGTAGTATAAATACCACGTAAGTGGCAAAAAGAAATAGTTTTGATGACGGTGCCGATGATGCAATTTTGTTGATGAAACACCCCTGAATAGAAGGTTATGAAACACCTCTTGAATAGAAGGTTGGAGTAAATGTGGATGGAATATTACTCCTACATAAAAAAATATTTTCATTTCCTTTTTCTTTGGATTTTTTTTCCTTCCTTTCTCTCTCTCTCTCTCTCTCCATAATTTCGTCCAAGAAAATAGTCTGCTGGTTGGAACAAGGCAGAAAATTTTACATTCAAGAAAAATCCTTGATACATTAATAGGTCTTATTTAGGTGGCATAGTGGAAGCAAATTTAAATTGCGATCGACCCGCTCTCATAACATGAAGAATTTTATAATATAACTAGGATTAGAGAGAAAAAATTGAAGGGAAACAAGACACAAAGATATACGTGATTCTATAAACTTGAATGCACAATGGGAAATAAATAAAATAAATATAATCACTCTAATCTACGATCATCTTATCCCAATTATAAAAATTGATGGATTTATAAGAATCCAGTCATATCTCTAATACAACATAGCTATTTGCGGAGTTAGTACAAGTGTATAACATTATAGTATAATTAAGGATTTTATACCGTATTAAAAAATAACAATTTAATTAAATGAAGTTACGATTTGAATAGGTCATATAATAATTCAATGAGACCCATTGAAGATCAATCTTAACTTTTTAAAATAGATCTCAAACTTTCAATCTCATCACAATATAATTTTTTTTTTTGTTTGATAAAAGCGTAGACTTCTCCTAGAATATAGACTATTACCATAGTCACATCATCGAAATGAGGTCCACTCCAATAAATATATTTTTTAAATTTTCATCAAATATTTATTATGAATTCAATTAGAACTTTTTACATATAAGTGAGTTTCTCGTCAACTCGTGATTGGTAATTTATCAAGAAAAGTAATAATAAAAAATGTGCATTGAAAGGGATTTTAATTCATTAAAATCGAATTCTAATGGTCGTTCTTCGTTCAAAAAAAGAACCCAAAAATAATAAAAGATTGAAATATGTAGTGTGTCCGTATTCAATATTGAGTCCAACCCCCAAATACGAAAAAATGCAAAAACGCGCAATAGAACTGAGGAGTTTAGTAGCACACAATGAGTAGTTGTAGTTTTCATCGGTTCACATAGTTTGATCGATGAATTGAAGACTCAATTAAAAGAATTTTAAACTCACACATGTTGAGTTTAAATTTTGACAATTTTTAAAAATTTTGGATATAAAGTATAAATTTCTCACCAGTATCTTAGGTGGCATGTGGCAACCACCCAATTTTTTTTTTTTTTTCGTTTTTGTTTTCATTTTGTGGCTAAAAAAAATAAAAATACGTTTGATAAATGTTTTTATTTTTTTTAACGTCTTTGTTTAAAAAACAAAGTTAAAATGTGGAAGCATCCAAAAGAATATTTTTGAAAACATTCAAAAAAAAAAAAATACACGCGAAATGGTGGTCTCCCACTTAATGAGATCCGGACTTCGATTCTCCTTAACAACAAAAAGTGATTTTTTTTTACTTTAGTTTAAAAACCCCTCTCTGCTCTCTAGTCTCCCTCGACTCTCTTTCTCTCTCTCTCTCTCTCTCTCTCACCCTTCGTTGATGGTTTTGCTATGAGTTTCGATTGTTCTGCTGTGATGGTTCTGCTGCGGGCTTTGATGGTTCTGCTGTGGGTTTGGATTA